CTTACTCACCCTGCTGTATGCAGCAATTAAGGCGACCCTCTTGGTAACACTACGTGACAGCCGATACGGCATGAGATTATTTTTCGTGTAATGGTTATACGAGGGTCGGGATACTGTCAGCGTCCAGACCTAGAAAGGAAGGAGATCAGGATCCTTAACCAAGGCCTTCGGCCCAAAAGCCTGACCGCAAGTCGGCAGTGTGTCGGAAAATACAAGTGGATTACCATCCTTATGGAACAACTCGCTGCACGTTATAACCCCCAACCTGGAGGACCAGGAGGCTGTGTTAGTCAGAAGTTGTGTTGCAGGTAATTCGATCAGAAAAAACATCCAGCACCACCGACTACGATGGCTCGGTCATGTGCTGCGCATGCCGAAACACCGTCTACCGAGAAATGTTGTTCTCCGTGCCTCCCTCAGAATGGCGCGAACCGCGAGGTGGATAGCACATGACTTGGCAGAAAGGCGTGAAAGAGGTCACGAGCAGTTTCGGTGTTGTTGGTGAGTGTAGGATGGGCGCCATCCAGTATAGTTCAATGGGTCACGGAGGTAAAAAAAAACGGTAAACTATAGTAAGGTTCAGGCTCTTTGTGAAGCTGTCCCGCGCTACTGTATGCAACAAGTAAGGTGACCCTACTGGTAACTCCACGCGACGGCCAATGTGGCATGACAGTACTTAGCTGCTGGAATCACGGCCGTACACAGGCTGGTGCGGACTTAAGGGGCTCCCACCTGGACAGAAGGACGATTAGGGTTCTCGATCAAAGCCCGACCGCAAGAAGGCGGTGTCTGGTAGGAAATATCCGTGCATCCATTCTTTTGAAGAACAAGTCATCGCAAAAGTTCCAACCTCCAACCTCGAAATTGTAAATGAGGGGCCCTGCGAGTATCACACGGACATTCTCAATATGGCTCATTGGGCCACGGAGGCATATAAACCGCCATAGCATGGTAAAGTTGAGTCTCTCCGAGACGGCAGCGACCAAGGACAGTCAATTTTTACAAATTGTTTGAAATCATGGGAGTACAATAACTGGATTTCTGAGGAGTTGAAAGTATACGTAACTATCGTAATAATATTCATGCAGCTGTAACATCTTTCTGGTGCCTAGCTGTCTTGCCACCCGAAGGGAGCGCGAGGGCTGAGATATTGCCGGGCTGCTCAAGGCTAGGCAGGAAGCAGTTGAGTTGCAGGGGTTGGATTGAAATCAGGACCCTCCGATTAGTAAATTCGCACCCTAACGAGCCATCTGAGGCTCAAACTGCCGTATGGGGAAAATTCTGGGCATTTCCGGAAGGTGACTACTACGGAGGGAAACGAGCTGGTCGTTCAAGAGACAACTATCCAGGAAGCTTCAAACCAGCCGTCTGTGGAAGTCAAGGACTATGGTACGACTTACCTTGGAGGACATCACATTTAGCAGTAGCCGGATTTCCTGTTACCCCGGTGATTCCCAGAAAAATAACGCAATATAGTAGACAGGCTTATGAAATACAAAGCCATTCGCCCCTAAAACCCCTAAATGAGGTCATGCTTCTGGGCCTCACTTAGGGATTGAGGACAACGGGCCGCTAATAGGGGCATACATGGGAACGCAGAGACAAAAGAGCAGAAATTTGATAATCTTACTGTCTCTAACCACCGGTATCTCCGGTCTGATGGTCCTCATTCAGGGTACAGCAATGACTAGCGCAGCTGTTTGATAGTAACTGCTTCCATAATTTACCGCCAATTCATTGTCTCCCAGGCTCGTCTCCACTCTTCACGCGGTTGTGCGAAAAAAAGCTCCCTCCAGGAAGTCAGTCGACTGGCATATGGTGCATGTGACCAACCAAACGCAACCTATGGATTGCGATCAGTTCCGAAAACCACTCGACCTACTTCAGCACTGACCAAACGCTGAAAAATCTTCAACCTCCTCAGTTAGTAGCGGGTAGATTTCTGACCCATATAACAATATGGACACCCCTCCCCCATTGTAAACTTGACCCGACAGATAAGCTAGTATCACTCCTGCAGCACATGTGATGCCGATTCACAATAGTTGCCCTGACCTTACCAATCCGGATGCAAATATCGTGTGGCTAGACTACCGAGATCGATACAACAGCCCTGGTGGACGAATTTGTCTACTGTCTCAATCAGCTAATCCGCAAGGATCCAATAAACATGCCACCGGTTGCACCACCGGCAGCCATCGGTGGCAACCCATAACAATTTCAATCTGACCTTTTTTTGGCTTTTTCCAAAACTTCTTGCAGCCGGAGGAGGCTAACGGTTGCAGCCTTCAGTTTGTTGAGACATATTTGCCGTCTAACTAACTGAGTCCAGGAGTAATCGGTTTGACCACCTAACCTCACGGCACGCCTATTATAGCCGAACGCTGTACCTAATGACTAACTGCTTGCGACAACATGCTGCATGGTCAACGATGAGGTTCAGGTTTGAGCACATGCAGTCCTGCAGCAGCACTCAACGAATCACATATGTGATGCATATGCCAAACTACGAGGCAGAATTATCTGATTTATCTTATATCGACTGCAATACGAAGGCATCAGATCGAAGCCTAGGTTCCAGTAAATAGCCCTCTACACACAGCGCGACTGAACATGTTCGTTCGACTGGCGTCAAGATTAACGCATCTCGACGCGGTAAATCTTGTTTATTTATTATCAGAATCAGTCGCGGTAGACGCCAGCCTTGGGTCAGAGAAAGTCTCCATTGAGACTTTTCATGGTTGCATCAGTCAGCACGTGATATGAATGTCCAGGACAGCCAACGAAGTTTGAAGAGAGTCCAAGTTGGCGCTCGATTCCAGGTTGATAGTTATTGAACAAACAGTAGAAATCGCTTCTTCCAGTTGTGTGCTGAACAGTACTAGGAGGAATTACATTCCAAAGCCCCTTTCCATCCACAGTTGCGCTTGGCTACGGCCAATAAGCCATGCTCACAAATGATTGGTCAAAAGAACGGACTAGAGTTGGGTGCACTATTCAAGGATTCACGAATTGATACACAGGATTGAGGCTTTTGTCCAAGTCTCCCCAGTCGGTTTTTTTTGTCGGTCAGTGGCTGTCGTTTACCTGAAGGGCACAAGTGAAAAAAGGGTGCAGTGCTGCTCTTTATGTTCCCTGCGCGAGGATTCGCATAAATAAATGTCTAATAGTGCTCTAAACTGGGTTCTAGAAAGCAGCGTGGACAACCGTCGGAGGAACGTCATTCCACGCAGCTACTACCCAAAATGAGAAAATAAATTGTCTGATGAATGTGTGCGCTCTGAGCTTGAAAATCTCACTATGTATCCGCCGTGTGTTTGCTGGGTCAACGGTGAAAAACCTGTCGACCAAGCTTTGTTCAAACAGGGCATAAGTAAGAATTAGGTCCCCTCGGAGGCGACGATACGCCAGGGGAAAGAGATCGAGCATCGCGAGACGTGTTTCGTAGTCCAGGGATTTGAGGCCGACAACCATTCTCGCTGCGGCTCACTGGACACACTCAATGAGGGTGAAGTCTTTCGTGCGTTCTGAGTAGGCAACTTGGTTGGCGTATTCCGGGAGCGATCTGACCTAGGCTCCATAAAGTATTTGGAAGTCCACGTGAGCAATGCGGAAGAAGGTGCGCCGGATCATCCGCAGAATGGCGAATGCCCTCTGGGCCTATTTCTCATGGTGCAGGGAGAAGGACAAGTTTGAGGAGACCCAGATACCCAAATCTTTCTTGGCATCAATCCTCATGATGTTTTCTGAGTAGATCTCGTTAACTGAAAATGCGGACTTGAGAACCAATGTTTTCTCCGTATAAGCTAATTCCCCGTTGCCTGTGGCGTCCAGAAGACGTTCGCATTTCCGGGATGTCTTCGACGCACACAAGTTACGTGCGGCGTGCTGTAAGTGGGCTTGGGCTCCCGTTGAATATTGATGACACTTTTTCATGGATTAACGGATTAATACATGGGTTTGAGGCTTTCGCCCACATTTCCCGGGACGGTTTTGTTCTTGTTGTTCGGCGGCTGCACTTCAGCTAGGAAAAACAAGCGAGAAAAAGGTG